CGATCCTGAAATCTCCAGGCTTCTTTACACAGTTCCCTGTCCCCCTTCAGCACATTGCCAGTACCAGGCCACCTCGTATCTTAGATCACATTAGCTTGTTACAGAAATTCTTCACTTAAAACACAGTCAGCCCCGGGATAGTCAGGGGATATTTTTTTGCCCTTAGAATTTTTATAGAGAATAGTATATGCAACTCAATTTCATTTCAACTTCCTTGTCTCCAGCCTGGACATGTCTAGAAATTCATAGTGATGTTTTGATGGAGAGTATCTCTGCTAGGATGGGTGTGTAGTGTTCAATTCAATAAGCATTTATGGGGCACCCCCAGCATGCCTACCCTAAACGGTAAACAGACGCACAGGGACCAGCACGGTGCAGGTGGCTGCTTCTGGACTATTAGCTGGAAATTATATAGCAGACATCCATCATGTTAAACAAGATTTTCTCACTGCCGCCTCATTACTCAGGCTCACTTCCCTAGAATTCTATAACTCTGTATCTCTTTGAAGTATGGTTACAAAGTCGCATTGCTTCATAATACACAAACAGGCAAAACTCTCTACAGTGCCCAGGGGAACAGGAGCATAATTTTGGGCAGAAGAGAAAGGGTCTCAGAGCCCAATCGAACAAAGCAAGCACACCCCTTTTGCTTTCACAGCAATAAGACTTTTGCATGTGACAGGTACAAGGGAGAGCTCAACCATGCAGAACCACTGAGGGTTAAACCAAAGTAACTTGGGAGAAAGTGATTAATGCTAGTTCCTGAAGTGCCCATGCTGGTTTTGTCAGCATTTAATGAAGAACTAGGAATTAAAAAAAAATTTTTTTTTAAAGATTTTATTATTTGACAGAGAGAGACACAGTGAGAGAAGGAACACGAGCAGGGGGAGTGGGAGAGGGAAGAAGCAGACCTCCAGCCCAGCAGGGAGCCTGATGCGGAGCTTGATCCCAGGGTCCTGGTATCATGACCTGTGTCGAAGGCCTATGCTAACGACTGAGCCACCCAGGCAGCCCAGAACTGGGAATTTTAGACGGATTCCTCATCATAGACAGATTCACAAGGTAAAGAAGCCACCCCCAGATCCTCTGCTCTAGAGAAGAGGGGCTGGACATTGGTCTTCTGCCCTCAATCTTATCTTTCTAGCAAGAACTGGGATGAAGCCACAGAAGGTATGTTTATCTGATAAAGCTGGGAGATGCGGCTGATATGCTGGAATGCCGGGATGGAACTAAACAGGAGAAAATCCAATCGATACAAAGTATCCCAACACTCAGGTTATTAAAATCAGCTGTGCCACCTGAAAGCAGGCATGGAGTGCTCAAGAGCCAACAATGAATACCACTAGGACACAGGTACCATGGCAGGGACCAAGCTAGGCGTAGCAGCCCTGGAACAAGAAGTGGTACTCGTACTAGTTATAACGATCACTACCTGCAGGCTTAGGTACAGTTCTGGAGGCCCCACTTAATAGATCATTCCACACTGAAGAAAACCCAGAGGAAGGCAGCCAGGATACGGGAGGGCATGCAAATACATTAATACAAGGAACGGCTGGAGAAACTGAGGACTTCTAAAGACAGGAGATTAAGAGAGAAGACAAGATAACCATCTTCAAATATTTCCAGCCCAGGGGTTGCCATTGGCCCAAGATGGTACAACTTGGGGATTACAATGAATACCTGACAATATTTAACTAGTAAAATGAACCGTGAGCCAATGCTCACAATGAATGTCTAGGTTTTAGACCCTAAGGGCCAGCAAGTGGAAAGAGGAGTGGAGTGGCTCTGTTTACAGACAGCTGAGTTGAGGCTACCTCCCTCAGAGTGCAGTGCAGAGAAGAACCTGCTGACAACTAGCTAATGAAGGAAGAGGGCAGAACTCTATTCAAGAAGTAGCTCCTCACAGCTCGTTAAGTAACTGTGTTCTCTTACTCAGAGCGTCTGAACTTTGGTTTTTCCCTTGGCTAATGGTGGGAAATTAACCCTTACTGCATGTCGAACAGGTTGTTTGTCTTGCAGACAGGAAAATCAAGGTGCAGTAACTCACACAATAGGACACAGAAGGTAACCGCCAGAGGGGGGTTTGAACCTGGGTGTGCACAAACTCCTTCCACCCGCCACAGCACACGAAATACACACAAAGTGATCGGAGAGGTGCCCTAGGGCCCTGCAGCTCCTCAAGTGGGTCTGCCATGGCTCTTTTATGGTGACATTTCCCCCATCTGCCAGCACAGCAGTGCCACTGTTCTAGTTCCTCTGGATTAGAAGAGGAAGACTGGGGTCTTTTCTAGAAACCTATTGTTAGGATGACCCTGATCCCTGCAAAGGGACTCTGCCCTATTCCCCCACCCCCACAGCTGCCCCTGTTTGCCCTTCTCTTGAATATGGCTTGGTTTCCCTGAGCCAGCCCATTTTTGTTACCTTGCTGATCTTCAGAGTCTGTTCACCTGACCACTTGGAAACCAACAGAGAACAGTCTCCCGGTCTTCTGGTACAGTTAGGGGAAAATGTAACACTGTCGAGAACATCTCTGAACTCGAAGATACCACTTCCTGGCTTGCCCTGATAAAGGGGAAAGTAGGGGAAGGACACATGGCTGTCCTGTTATCACTGTTCTGTGTCAGAAAAGTAAGAACATTCTAAATTATAGTGCGTGGTCACAGACAGGCCCTCTACTACTACTTCTAGGTGGATTTTTCAGGTTTTCTTTATAGAACACAGAATCTTCTCATCATCTCCAGACCCCACTGCCCATGTTTCCCAGGGCCTGAGAAGGGAGTTGGGGGCTCCTGTTCCCAACAAGCCAGATTCTCCAGCTGACTAAAGTTTTCTGCTTGGAGGTAAGGAAAATTGAGCATATTTAAAAATACAACGTCTGTATATATCTGGCTGCTTTCAGACCACCTGTTTTAGCTGCTTCCTGATTTCTGGAACTTCCTGAGATCAGGGACTGCGTTCCCTCTGTTCATTCATCCCACAAGGCTTTCCTGAGCCTCTGTGTGTGCTGCAGGCCAGGGACAGCAGTGAAGCAGACAGACGACCCTGCCCTCATCAAGTCTTAATGGCCTGGCTAGAAAGACACACATCGAACAAGAATTACACAAATAAAGATTCACATTCAACAAATAGCCCACATCTCTCTACGGTACCCAGCACAGAGCTCGGCACGTGGTGGGTGCTTTTTCAAGAATATGTGACTCATGTTTTTGTGGAATGTGCAGAAAGATTGACCAGCTGAGTTCATCTTAGCGTTGGGAGCACAATGCCTTGACCTTTGGAGTGAGAGAAAAGCATGACAGTGAAGCAGAATGATCTGGGTTCTAGTTCTTGCTTTTCCATGAACTAGCATTTTTCCTGGGTGGGTCACTCAGTTTCTGGGACTCAGTTTCCTTATTTGTAGAATAATATGTAAGTAACCAGGATTCTTCACAAATTGTGACATGCCTGCCATCGGAAGTGTTCTCATCTAGCCTCACTTACCTTGCCGGAAGACAAGGAATGGCTGGCGCCCAAGACAAGACACATGGCTCCAGCACAGGGGTCTCTAAGTCAGGGCTGTGGGAAGATGCAGTAGCAGTAGGAAGGGCCAGAACCCCTAGACCATGAGACTAAGAGGCTCTCTCTGAACATGGGAAACATTGCATTTTGCTTCCCACCCACTGACTGTTTAAAAAGAAACACTCATTCATAGGATATTCTAGGTTACATTTCTAAACAACAGATCAGAGGAGAAAGGAAAGTACAGGAATAGTTTTCTTTGTATGTTTTTACAAGTAGAAAAAAACAATTTTCCATCCACTCTGATAGTCAAAAATGGCTTAGAAACTTGAAGGCAGGACATCAGACAGAATTACCTCAGAATTACCTCGAATGTTCTTGAATACTAGTCTAGATCGTGACTTAGCACTGTGATCTTGGAATGTCTGGGGCACAGTCTTTTATTTATTTATTTATTTATCACCCCAGTAAGGAAAAAAAATTAGGAAAAATCCTAATGAATGCAGGTCATCTTAAAAAAACTGATAACGTAGAAAACAAAAAAACGAAGCAAGGACACAGCCTATTGCCTGAGGCTGAAGGACTAGACCAACACACTAGGTCTTGATAGACTAGGGCCAAATCGTCTTTGGAAATCCATCCCTTCATTCACAAAATCACTAACATGTAGCAAAAGATCATCTCATACTCAATGACCCTGGGGTAAGCAAATGAAAGTAGGGTCGGAGACTAAAATCTTCCCAACCCCGCTGCAAATTTAGACAGCTGAATTCTTTCCCTGACTTGAACAAATACACTGGGTTTCTTTGCTACCTTCTCTTTTCTCGTACTCTCCTTCAGAGCTCCTACTTTCTGCTTACTTGCTCCAAAATATGAGAGACCAAGTGACCAGGCTTTCTTGAAAAGACTACTACATCCCTCCAAGCTGCTTCCCACACCACCTCTTGGTCCTCTGCCCCTCAGGAACTGAGCCCCAGTACTCTGGCCAGAGGAAGGCATAGTTTCCACTGGAGCCCCTTCAGAGAGGAGGCTCCTATCAACCAGCATCTCTGTGGTCTAACTTCAGATGAGCCGATTCAGTTATTATAAATATGAGCCAGTCACAGCCACTAAGGTCTCAGGAAACTATCCCAGCCTCAGGGGTCCTGAGGTCCAGCCTCCCAGGAGGCAGAGCCGCCCAAGCAGCCCAGACAGGGCATCTCCAGGGGACAGGAGATCCAGACCCTCTCACCCTTCCCCCTTGCCATACCCTCGTCACTTCTGCTAACTCCCGTGACGGGGGAGTTCTGGCTGATCACCTGGTCTTCTCTCCCCTCAGACAACATCTCCACACTGTGACATACCTCCTCCAGCCCTGCTCTTCCCACTCTGGCTGGCACAGAGAGACAACTGCTCCTGAGGTTGGCCTCCATAGTGGGAGAAGTTCCTCTGGGGATAATTCTCCAGGGGTGGTTAAGCCAACAAGAAGTCTTAGGGGAAGGAAGCTAGGGACACTGTCCTACCTTGTCACTGTCCACTGTATTCTGAGAGGTCCTGGAAGCGATGGAGATGGTATCTGGCTGGCTGCTTCCATCCCCTTGGCTGTCAACATCCTCCACTCCATCCCTGCAGGAAGAAGAGAAAAAAAAAACAGGGGTGGGGGTGGGGGGAACCACTGTGGGTTTAGAGCACACAAGGATTTCCAGCTGGGCTGGCAGAGCAGAGCCTCGGCACTTTCTAGCAGGGATTTGTCTAAAATTATCCCACTAAAGGGAGCAGGCCTCTGTGATTTTCAAAGATGTCGCCTCTTGTACTTAAAAAGCACGCAATCCCTATGCTGATAGCTGAGCATGAAATGGCCCCTCCATGACTCCTCTGGCCCATGGAACAGAGGAGGTGATGATGTATTTATTTTTTTACTGGGAATGGGTCTATAACATGCAGTTGGAAGAGGTCCATTCCACTTAGAACTGAGGCTTTGACCCAGCTGACCGGGTGATGGCCCACAATCCCAGAGTTCAAGGTATTTAAACAGTTTTTCTGCATGCTGAAGGAGGATGGGGGCTAGTTTATAGCTGGTCTATAAAGAAAACAGAACTTTTTTTTTCCTTTTGACTTGTGTTTCTCCTGATGAAGAAAATGACACAAGATATTATTCCAGGGGCAATAATCTTTGGGAAGTTGCTGATGTTGGAGGCTTAACTCCTGGGTATGGAGGAAGAGATTACTTCCTTCATTTTGGTGGGTTTTGTGGGTCTCGTGCTGTTTGTGATGACTTCTTATCAACACAGAAGACCAAGGCACCATCGCAAAGACCCCAGACTGCACAGCAGCTTCCTCAGTCAGCTGTGTTCCTGAGCACCCGGTGAGATAAGCTCCTGAGTGTGCTCCTGGCAAGCAGAGCCCTTCCTGGGCCGCTGGACCAATGTCCCACTCACATGGCCCTTCGATTTTCCAGCATGAGAATTAGGTCTCAATCCCACACTGAACCCATAGCCAGGGCCGAGGGCGATTAGGTGCCTGGGAACTGGTGAAGGCTGAATGGTCCGTGTTGGGAAAAACTGAAGGAGATGTGGGCCAGGACTTGGATAAATGAGCACAAAGAGGGCCAGCTCTTCCCACGGAGGCTTTTGAAAATCCCACCTCTGATGCTGCTTCGGTAGAGGTCATGGCGTTAGGAACGGGCTGCCTGAGGGTGACACTGCGTGGGCAAAAGGCCCCATATACAAAGTCGCCTCCCAGAGTCTCAACAATCACATCTGGTGTATGTGGATACGTGTGTGCAGGTGAGCATGCATGTGACCCATGTGTATATACACAGTAGCTCCTAGCCACAAAAGGGTCTTCTCCTACCTAGATGGCTTCGAGGTCAACAGCCTTCTCACCACCACTTGCGGGGTTGGGAAAGGCCAACTTATTTTAATAATATAAGCCACACATTCATAGGAAGGAAGATCTGCAGTAAAACGAAATTATGTGATGCATTTCCAAACCAAGAATAAAGGCCTCTTGGATCATGTGCTGTTTTAGATATCTGGGCTGCGGCTCCCCGCCATTTGCCTATAGTTGAGCATTGGCTGTACATGGTACTTCCCACCCTTCTGGCCCAGTGTGGGCCCTTCTGGTCCACTGCAGATGAAGCCAGCTCTGGGGGCGGCGGGGAGCCCATCCAGGAGTGGGGGTGGCGCTCTCCAAGCCAATTCACTCCTCTGCACACTCTGTCCCCACCTCCTGGGAGCCCAAAGCTAATGAAAAGACAGGCAGCCCGACTGTTTTCCACAGACTCTGCCCAGGGTTTCACTCTCTTATTTCAGGACAGTGACAGAGAAATGGTGGGAGGCATTTCCAAGAGAAGTCCATCTCGTGATCTACAGATGTTCAGAAAGGGGCTCCTTCTCAGAGAGACTTGAGCCAACCTCACCTAAATGTCCGTCCTCTCCTGCGTGCTCCTGGACATTGAGTTCCTAGACCATTTCCTCTCTATCTTCTTTATTGAAGCGGGGGCTTCCTGAAGCAGAGCAGGGCCCTAGAGCTAAACTAAGTCTGGCCCTCCCCCAGACTCTGGCCATGGGTAACTAAAATGAAAATACCCCCTTACCCGACGCAGCCCTGATTTGTCCTTCCAGCACTGAGTGATGACCTTTTCCTGGCCACGCAGGTCTTAGGGCTTCCAGCCCGTGGAGGTGTCTCTCCCTACCTCAGTCACACCCTTCTTCGGGCTATCAACTCCCTTTGTACTAATGCTGCTACTCCGCAGGTCCTCAGGTCCATGTATCCTGGCTGGCACCAGAAGGTCAACTAGGGATTTAGTCCACTCAGGAATAGGAAAGGCAAGGAAAGGCAAGCCTGTTACCACCAATGGCCATCACCCCCAGAACTATTTTCTTTTTTTTTTTTTTTTTCAGTATTGACATGATGTTTTTATATGCTCTCTTTTGAAGTGCCCTTTAAGAGAGTCCTTGTAGATGACTGTCACAGGGAGATTTGAGAAACAGACACTGAGGATGTCTTCCACCAGTGTAGGGCAAATGGAGTGAGGAAGGTACCAGAGAGGTGAAGATACAAAACCTCAGTCCCCTTTTGCCCAATCACCTTGCTTATCTCAGGTAACTGAAGCTGAGGACTCGGGGGGGGACAGAAGAGCTGCAGTGACAAGCCTATCACACCAAGCCCCTGCTCTAATCACATACAAAACTTCCATACTGTCTAATCAGTCCCTTCATGGCCTACCTCCCTCTCAAAGCCTTCCCTGGACTCTCTCTCTAGTGCTCACCTAAAGCCCCTTCTCAATGAATTTTTACAGCATTTACTGTCTCCACGGGCAGCACTGGTCCTTTGAGTCTATTCCATGTGTGAGATACAACCACTAGAGGGTTCTCGAGGCCAAGGGCTCATCGTGTGCTTCCCCTTCTCTTCTCCGAGCACCTAGCAGTGTCTGTGAAAGACGAGGTGCTCAGTGCAGCCCTGCTGAATGCAACTGACAGTGACTGGTGAGATGCTCAGAGAGGAGACTCCTCATCTTAGTATCTGCGCTGCCGAAGCGAGCACGGAGACTCCTCATCTTAGACGGGACTTCATGGAGAGGGGCGCCAACGGCAGACTGCACCGCCTCTGTGGGAACGGAGGGAGATCCCACTCCCACTCCTGGAGCCTGTGAGGCAGTGCTTGTTGGGGGAGAGATGCTGGTTACCTCTTACTATTGTTCCTCTGTTTGGCTGGTGTTTTGGGGAGTTGAATCGGCTCCTTTAAAGCTCCTTTCAGGTGAATGATCCTTTCTTGAATCACCTCTCGAATGTTCTTGATCCACTCCTGCTTGGTTTCTATGTTGGAGGCCTGGAATGCCACAGAGAGAAAGAGTAAATACCCCATCTCCTTTTGCCCTGCCTAAAACCGTTCTCCATTCTTGTCCTGCAGGCTTATCCCATTATTTTCAAGGACACAAAATGTTTGAGGAGCTCATTTCTCATTTTACATGCATGACTCTTCAATCCCAAGGACACACTCCTTCAACTACTAGAATGGGGCTAAGACCGCAATACTCAATACAGACTTGTACAGGAGTGATTGTCAAAGTATTTAATACTCTGTGTGGCACTGACCAATACTGACATCGGCCCTGGGGCACCTGGGTGGCTCAGTTGGTTGAGTGTCTGCCTTTGGCTCGGGGCATGATCTCGAGGTCCCGGGATCGAGCCCTGTGTCAGGCTCCCTACTTAATGAGAGTCTGCTTCTCTCTCTCCCTCTGGCCCTCCCTGCTGCTTATGGTCTTTCTCTCTCAAATACATAAAAATCTTCTAAAAACATACTGCCATCTGTCTGGGGCTGGAGCCTATGTAGAAGTCCCCTGCTGGGGCAGGGATGAACACATCAGTTGCTAGAGGCTGGGGAGTTCTAGGCAGCACTGGGAGGGGTAGCAAGGGGGTATCTGAAGGCAGTGGCTATTTGCCAAGTGGTACAGATCCACGCCAGCACATTTAAACCCTAGTATGGCTACATACATAGGTCTGCGCTGACTGAAAGTCAGTGCCGGGAGTTTAGCTTTGTAAACATGTTCACTGAAGGCCCTTGTACCATTTCGTGAATCTCTAGTTTGTCTTTGTGGAATTGTTTTCAGGTCATTCTGTCTCGTGGCAGCTAGAGCTGGGCGACAATTCAGAGGGAACAATGTGAAGTGTTTGTCACAGTCATACCACCTCTTCCAGGGTGGCAGCCACCCCAATAAACAAATGTGTGGTGGGAGCCCCGTCCGCAGGACCACTTCTCAGTCAGATGCATGTTACCACAAGCCCCGAATCCCAAGCTGTGTGTGCTCTGGAGAGCTGGAATGACTCCTTAAGGCTGTCATCTGGTGAAGAGCTCTTTCTCAACACTCCTTTCAATCAACACAGTTGCTAAGCTAGCGTGATTTACTAGAGCTCTAGAACCTAAGTTCCTGGAGGACGAGTCCATCTCTCATACTTAGTTACAAGCAGCCCTGGGCAGAATACCTTCTACGTAGGTGTTCAAGAAAAAGCATTGGATGGATGTGGAACAAATCACAGTACCTTTTGTCAAAAGGTCAGTTGTCCTTGCCCTTGAAGGGGACATAAGGACAGAACATACTTAAGTGGGCCCTGCTGAGACAGCCCAGCAGGCTGTTCCCTGCCTTTTTCCCTCTAGGTGTACAGGAGGGGAAGGACTTAGGAGACCACCCATCTTTGAGATTTCAGGCCTACTTCCATGATAGAACTTGGTTTTTAATACCCGTGGGCTACTGCCCTCCCTGTGGAGTCTCCAGGCCCCAGCTTTCAAGAAGATGCCGCCGCCCTCTGCCCTCCACCTGCTACCCACAACCCTGTACCCTTGGCCGGCCGGGAGCAGTACTTACCTTCAGTACTGTTTTATTGTCTGAGGAGGGGGTGCGTCCAGACCACAAGGCGAATTTGCAGGGATCACCTTCTACGTGCTCAGTCACACCCAGCTCTGAGGTCTGTAGACAGGAAATGCCTGTGAGAGGCGGGGAAGGGGAGGGCAGTGGGGAACTTAGGGCTGGGGTGGGAAGGGAAAGGCAACAAAGAGGAGAGGACCGAGGGAGGGGCTTCTGTCAATCAAACTTCAACAGACTGGACGCTTTGATCTTCTACCTGGGATGAAAGGACCTACAGGCGCCTGCCAGATTAGCAGGTGGCAGGGAGGGAGGGTGAAGAGGGAGGCACTAAAAGCAGACAGCAAGAAGACCGGTGAGCTCTAAAATGCAGAAGGGGGAGTCGAGGGGGGCAGCTTTCCAAATAGGAGGCCTTTTCATTTGTCCAGGATGGTTTTGGTGTGGCACCAGGGGAGAGATGAGCTGAGTGTTCAAGAGCCCTTTCTGCCCGAGGGCTCTAGGACAACAGGGAGACTTGTCTGACCCCACCTGCCCCACCTACCAGTAGCTTGTTCTTGTAAACATATTTCGTGTGTCCTGAAGAGTCCTTGATCTCCTTGCTAAAAACCAAGGAGATCTCAAAGAGGAACAAGTGCCGCTCCCGCCCCTTCCGGATCAGCGACTTTGGGTCCCACACTTGGAAGGCATCCTGGAGAATCAGCTCTCCCTGCACATCCAGGTTCTCGTCGAACCCTGAAAGACACCGTTTCCGCCCAGTGGAGTTTCTCTAGCACCACTTGGGGGCCACGTTCCACTCCCGTCGTGGAAACGTTTCCCCTAGGAGCCCTCTGTTCTCACAATGAGAGGAATCCCCTCTCAGCGGATTCCTGAGCCTCCTCAAAACTTGAGGAGACAGCTCTAGGGAACAGCGAGCAGATCCCCCTTCCCACACCAGGTCTCCTACACATAACCAGGATTGGCGGCATCTCCGCATGGGCTGGCACCTCCTGCAAGGGCAAACCCCATGTACCCCTCTTCCTATAGCTTCCCACCGACTCAGAGCACTGAGTGGAGCTGCGGGCAAGCACTGCAGGATAGGGGAGTGCCCTTGACTCCACTTTATTTGTCGCTGCTTATTTCTTTTATTCCATTCCTATGACTCTTCCCTTTGATGGCTCCTAAACTGTGCACTGCACGTGCCTTGAACAGTCACATTTATTCCTCTTAAAGTTTTAACAGAGGTTCTGAAACTTAGTATGCATAAGAATCACCCACAGAGCTGGTCAAAACCCAGATTCCTACCCACCCCTGCCCTGCAGGGAGACTGGGAAACTGGGATTCCGTAGCTGTGGGGTGGAGCCCAGGAATCTGTCCTTCTGACAAGCTCCCAGGTGTTGCTATTGCTGGTCCTCAGACTGTACTTGGAGCAACTGGATTCAGAACACAGGGCAGGGACCGGCTGAAGGAGAAGGGTGCTAGCAGGGGAGGACAGCCAGGGCTGGGGACAAGGATGGGTGCCAACAGAACAGGGTGGAGAAATTGTGGCAAGAGGAGAATGTTCAGATGCCTAGTGCTCAGTCCGAAGAAGGTTACCAGGGCTCAACTGCACAGAGAACTTCAGCTTCCTCTGCTCAGGGTGGCCCAGGAAGTGGGGAGACCAGATGGAGCCTTCTAGACGGAAGGTGGGGACAGAGGGTGGGGAGGAGAAAACCCAGCCCACAGGTCTGCAGACTTGCAGCAGAGGGCACTCCTGTCCCTCAGCACCTGTTTGCCAGGCCAGACTGGGATGCCAAGTCTGAGCTCCTCTCACAACCCCACCCTGGCTTGGCAGATCTGCATGTCTGTTCCGCAGTGGTAAGAGTACTGTGTTGGAGTCTCACTCTACCCAGTCTCTGGGTCCCAAGAGCATGGTTCCCATAGACTACATGTACTTAGGCAAAGTCCTCTCGGGTCTGTCTGGCTGGACTTTTCTCACCTGCTAGGAGGGGCAGAAGGGCAGTGCACACCCACGCCAGTGTACTTAATGCCACTGAGCTGTACACTTAAAAATGGTTAAAATGGCAAGTTTTGTGTTATGTATATTTTATTGCAATAGAAAGAAGAAGGGCATAAGGCTGGAGACCATGGGGGCACGTGTGTGTGTGTGTGCGTGTGTGTATTTACATGCACGCAGGATTTCAACTCATTTTGGTGATCAACACAATGCCAGTGCCATGCAGATGAACAGGACTGCTGTGGGGCAGGGCTCTAGCACATTTTGGGTGAGGAAGATAGCCTGTGCTAGACCACCTCACACGCAGCAAGTTGTCTACGTACCTGAAACAACTTGGTCCTACCAGGAGGCAGGTATTGGTCGAGCTGGCCCCTGTGGAGCTCCTCTCATACCTCCTGAGGCCCAATGCTCTGAAGACCCATGCCCTCCACTTGCCATTTCTCCTCTCTTCCAGCCTTGCCCTTTGCCTGACTTCATGCCACTTCCCTCCCACGAAATAAGCTCCCTGGTCTTAGGAAAGGAGGAGGCTCCCCCAGACAGGCTGGGAGGACAGACAGCTACCTTCCAGCATGCTGACATGCATGGCATCATTGGCTTTCTTTGGGACACTGAGCATCACCTCCAGGCCATCCTTGAGCTCCCCCTTCCCTTCTTCACAGCAAGTTAAAAGTTCCTGGGGGAAAAAGTCCAGACACAATTAGAACCATTTATCCCAGCTTCCCCACCCTCCCACCACCTAACCCACCAAGGTGACTGTAGACCAGCTTTATTCTCTGTAATGGTTCCCTCTAAGCTATAAGGAGAGTGGGGTGGGATATTTTCTCCAAAGAATTCAACCACAATTTTTTCCCAGACTGAACTTCCACAGCTCCATCTAACCTAAACTAACTCAATTCAACCCAACTCTTAAATGCCCAGCACTGGAAGTCAGCAATCTAGGGCATTCTCTGTCACTTGGTTCCCCTCCTGGAGAAGGGAGGACTCCTGGCACAGCACACAAACAGAGGGTCAGTAGTGTGGAATCAAAAAGAGAAGACAACAGGCATGCAAAGAATGCACAGCACTCATATGTTCCTGCACGCCTACGGCTGGCACCATGTTTATTTACATCCCTCTGCTGCCTAAATGCTGACTTGCACCATACTGGGAGCAACCTGGGGTTACAGACATTATAGGTTTACAGGGTTTCAGAGTTATAAAATATTTTTAGATCATCTAAGTCAGGAGTTCCTAACCTGAGATTGGTAGATGGGATTCTGGACTAGTCCTTTTTGAATCTTAAATCTAGACTCCAAGTCCACTATTCCATCTGCCATGCCAACCCTGTCCTCCATGACCTCCATCACACTGAGACTTCCCAGAGCATGCCCTCTCTTATTCCTCATTGAAGACTAGGTTATTATTACCTCCATAAAAGACATATAGTATCTGCTTTATGGAGAAAAGAAATTTTTCAACTTTCTTAAAAATTATAAGGACCATTTGAAATAATTTTCCCCAACCCGGAGGAATGTCAGCTTTTATTTTTCCTATGAGGGTTACTGTAAATTTTGCTCATTTTGATATGGGGAAGGAAATAGGCAACAGATCTGCAATTCATACGCTCTCCTTCTAGGGGGTAGGGGAAGTCAGGGTATGGGTGGATGGGTAAGATGGCCTTCCAGGAAAGAAAGAAGTTGACCAGATCAAATCTTGTGAACATGTTAATGTCAGACCTTCCTGCAAATAAACTAATGGTACTAGCTAGCTAGCAGGAGAGTCCTTATCTATGGAATGCTTCCAGTAGGATCTACCGGGCCTAAGACTTCTTGTGGTAACAAAAACCTGAATCCATGGCTTTAGGGGCATAGCTCCCTGTAAAATATTACAGATGTTATGCCACTATCTGAGTAAAAAGTTAGTATATTTCATAAACAAAATGGCTCTCTTCGGAGTAAATGATCTGATACAACATTCACCATTGAGAAGGTCTGTATGTTGGTCTGAGCCACAGTACCTCCTGAAGTTCCAAGAAAGGACTTGGAGCTGTTGGTGGTCCTGGACTTATCTCTGCCTTGGGATTATTTGTATCATTGACATTATTAGTCAAGCTTTATACTTGGTAAGAGATCTGATCACTGAGCATCTGACATGAACATCCAATCCTTTGTGTCATCTCAGATACATTCCCTTATGAAGAAGGGAGCTCTGAGTGTCCAAAGGAGAGATGAACTACTTTGAGCATGTTTGCGAGGGAGAAGTGATCCGTTCTCAGCTCTGTCCTTGGCTCCAGCCAGTATAATAGGAAAAAATTGTTCAGAAACCTGCATTTACTTCTACCAACCTGAAGTTCCCTGATTCTCCCATCCCTTCCCTAATTTTCGCCCTCCTGACCTTGTTCTCATATATCCTCAAAGGAATTTCTAGGCAGAAGCACAAGAGACAAATATGAAATAGGATTCAGTGTGCAACAGAAAACACTAATTGGTTGGACAACACCCGCCCGTCCCCCGGCCCACAAAGCAGTGTGGCAAGTCCTCTCAGCTAGCAAAGCCAGAAAGTTCTCCTTGGATCCTTGTTATAGTTGATATTAAGGAGAAGGCTCCACATTTAATTTAGACTCCAAAAGGACAGCTGTAGCAGATTTATAGGGAGAATATTGAACAGCAACTGACATACAGTTTTTATTTTCATGCAACACCCAAAGCAAGGAGCCCCAGAGGACACTAATAATTAAATATCAATATATTTGGAATAAAACTGTCTTTAATGAGAGAATAAATCCCACATTATTTATTTATAGTAAAAGCTCAGCAAACTATTTTTCTTTTACTCAGCGGGTACTCTGCTATCAGCACATTTATGAGTCCTAATCACCTTAGTAAGTCCTTTTTCCCCAATAATTTTACAACTTCTCCACAGTCCAATTCCCACTACTTCATTTTTTCCCCTTCTCAGTTACCTGCACAATCATTTCTTCCTAAGACACCCAATTACAGAATGAAGGCCTAGTACCCACCCCTCCCATCGCCTAAAGCAAAATACAGGGCGGCCTGTCCACCCTCCCTTCCTTCTCCTGTGTGTGTCACAAGACTATCCTGGGAACCTCAGCCCCGAGGAATTCAAAGGGAGAGGTGAAAAGCTATCTTTCTCTTAGAACTGGATCTTACTTATTTAAGGCACCAGCAGTGTGTATGGGTGAGTTTCTGTTTTGTTTTACTTTTTATTTTTTTTTTTATTTTTTTATTTTATTTTATTTTTTATTTTATTTTATTTTATTTATTTATTTTTTTTTTGTTTTACTTTTTAATTTACAGCCCCACCGACTCCTGAAAAGGCGTTGCGATACTTATATTTCATAACCATAAAACTGAATTTTAAAAAGTCTTCTGGTACAAGAAAAACCATGAAAGGGTCAAGCATTAAATGGGCTAGGGAAGGACGGGATGATTATACACAGAAATCTGGGTTAAGGACAAAGTAGAAACAATATAGTCATTGTAGTCATTGTAACAGGACTCAAGGCTAATTATCTGATAGTCAAAGGCGAAGAAGGAGCAAAAGCTCTTGCGATTTACAGGTAGAGGGCACACCAACGATTTTGGAGAGAACACCCGTACCCCACTCTGAGGCCTTATGAGAGTTTTGTGAGTCTTTATACAAGGAACTTGAAAAAACAAAGAGGACATCTTCAAAAGCAATTCTGTTAAAACTGTCAAGGTGCTCTGCACATTGTTACTTCTCACACAAGGCCTCAGTAAAGGCCAAGGGCAGGATGCCGCGTGGTAATTCTCTACGGCATCTCTGCAGGGCTGGATGACTTGAGTGCCTGGAAGCAGAAGCCCAAAAAGTCTCTTCTTAGAGATAAGGCAAGAGGACTTTGAAGGTAGAGGCCAGAAGGACCGTAGAGGGTTGGGGGGACTAGTTTGTGTCCTGACACAGAATGGGGAAGAGGCCCTGCTCTTATCATGGAACCACGCGGCTAAGCAGGGAGACCCCTGGGGCCTGATGGGGCAGGGGCCACACTCCAGCGTGAGTAGAAACCTAGGTTTGAAACTAAACTGGTTTTCAGGCTCCGTGAAGCTAGAATATGTGAGACTCCACAAGCATCTCTACACGTGAGTTGAATTTCAGCAGATTTTCTCCGGAAATACACTACTTAGAACACGCCTCTTGCTACCCCGATGTCCTCTGCATTTGAAGAGCCACTAGCAAAATAATTAAACTTAGGGAAAACCCCACCCTTATCCCTTGAGAACTGGTATACACCGGTGTTACATAATTGCTTATACTATCGATTTCCCAGGCTTTCTGTGGGGGAAATGCCATCTTTTCAGATGGTTAGTGTATCTTTCCTTAAGAAGAATCAGCCCAAATTACCTAGTATTTCATATCATTTGGTTATTTAAATTTTAAAGAGAATATTTTGGAGAAAATCTGAATCTTTTCCTTGGCTCCTAAAGAACCCTTACCTAACATATGGGCTCTTCCAGACACAAGAGTGCCATTGTGTTTTAATCTGCACTGTTTGAGGGTTTTCTCTTAGAAACCTCATAGTCTTGACAGAGATTAAGGCAATGGTAGGTGCCACCCTGGGCCTCTATTGCCTATGTAGACTGGCACTGCCCCAAAGACCTTGACCCCTGATCCTATCAGAAGCAGGGGCCACTAGGAGGAATCTGCCCGGGCAGCCAAGTGAGGCCCCACGTGTCAGCCAGTGCCCCTGGTGACAACTGCTCCAAGATGTGCAGTGGTGGGCAGGTGTGGAAAGAGTCACGACTTATTCCTGTTCTCATGTCTCCTCTGTTCCCCAATAAATAAGCACCCAGAATTTCCTGGGATAGTTTATGCAGTCTGGGAGGCAGCAAAGCCAGTGGGGTTCATCTCTGAAGTTTTGCTCTAGGTAGAGGCGAGGTCTTGAGGGGGAAGCCGTTCCATCCTTCGGCAAAGCTGGGCCTCCCCGGACCGAGTTGGTAGTGTGGGAGGGGGGTGACACAGAGGGGAGGGCAGGTACCTTCAGGAGCAGTTGGTACTTGGTGATCCTCTGGACAGGCTTGATTAGGTAAGAAGAGATGGAGTTGGCCAGACCATGCCGCTGCTGTATCTCCTGCAGGGGTGACAATGGGCACCATTACACACAGAGGGGTGTGTGTGTGTGTGTGTGTGTGTGTGTATGTGTGTGTGTTTGGGGAGGAAGTATACAAGGTGAGAAGAAAGAAGAAAAAAAGGGTAGACAATTATGAGGAGCTGTTCTTTGATGGGGAGAGAAACAAGAGAGACCCAGATGAATGCATAAATAGCGGAAAGGAGAAATGGCAAAAGGGGAGAGAAAGCAGATTTGTGTGAGAGAAATGGAGATGAAGAAGACACGGGAAGGATAACAGTGGCAAAAGGAAGTTAGGAGAACAATAATAGACAGAGTGGGGTGGAATTAAGGGGAATAAACCCACAGCGGAGGCACTCATGGGGGGACAGCAGGACGATGAGAAAACGGGGAGGCAGAGAGCGGGGCTCAGAGGGCAGATCTCCTTTCCACCCTCTTCCTCTCCACCTTAAACCACCCCAGCATGGAGTGCCCTCTGCATTCCCTACAACTTCCTTATTGTGACCCATGACACCTCCCTCATTCCTCAGTCCCCTCTCACTGCCCCCACAACCGGGCCAGAGACGGTGGAGTCCCTGTTAGTTGTTTTAACTTGTGTTATCCCTGGTGACAAGTCTTTCCTCTCCACACCATTTGTGCCCAGGCTATGGCCATGACCTCCAGCTGCAGTTTGGGCCTCTAGCCTCTTTTTAGTCCATTCTCCATCTTGCCTCCAAAATGACCTTCCACTCCCCAAGGTGTAGGCACTGTGAAGGGCAGCGAAGGGCCCACGTGGTTCCCTGCCTCAACGGCCTTACACCCCAGGTGGCTGAGAACACCCACGCACATAAAATAGCAACAAAGGAGACGCACAGAGAGGAATGGCTAGTCCAAGAGTGGCGGATGGTTCAGGAGAGATAAAGTCTTCAGCTGAGGTTCAGAAGATAGTTGGGGGGTGGGGGGAGTGCAAAGCTGGAAAAATGGCATTCTACAAACAGAAAACATATTTAAAAAGTCCACAGGAAAGAATCACTGTGGATTTAGTGATAATGGGGACCATGCAGAATGGTACAGAGCATGCACACCTAGAGACCAGAAAAAAATGAAAAATACAGTTAGATAAGCAAAGTATATTTAGGTCATTGATGGCGCCGAGCTAGATGAAAAAAAATCAGGATTTTGGTGGTAAGCTTCTCAATGATAAAGTATTGTAGATCTTAAATAGAAGAAAAACACGGTGAAAGCACTCTTTCAGAGAGGGTCATATAAGCCTCATAGCAAGGGTGGAGGTGGGGGTATAGAGGCAGAGGGACTAGTTAGGAGGTTACTGAACAATCCCTAGGATGCAAACATGGAGTTGCCACGTGATCTAGCAATTCTGCTCCTAGTGATATGCCCAAGAAATGAAAACATATGACCTTACAAAAACTTAGGTATGCTGTGTATAGCAGTATTACTGATAATAATGAAAAAGGGAATACAACCCAAATGTCCATCAATTGATGAATGGAAATATACGATGGGACACACACACCTACACAGTGGGGTATTACTGGGCCATAAAAAGGAATGCAGTGCTGATACACACTGTAACACACATGAGCCCTGAAAGCATTATTCTGAGTGAAAAAAGTCACAAAAGAACACATATTACATGATTCCATTTCTATGCAATGTCTGGAACAGGTAGACCTATAGAGATAGAAATATGAATCAAAACCACAATGAGATACCACCTCACACCAGTCAGAATGGCTAAAACAAATGAGTCAGGAAACGAAAGATGTTGGTGAGGATGTGGAGAAAGGGGAACCCTCCTACACTGTTGGTGAGAATGCAAGCTGGTGCAGCCACTCTGGAAAACTGTATGGAGGTTCCTCAAAAAGTTGAAAATAGAGCTACCCTATGGCCCAGCAACTGCACTACTGGGTATTTACACTAAAGATACAAATGTAGTGATCTGAAGGGGCATGTGCACCTGAATGTTTATAGCAGCAATGTCCACAATAGCCAAACTATGGAAAGAACCTAGATGTCCATCAACAGATGAATGGATAAAGGAGATGTGATCTATATATACAGTGGAATACTATGCAGCCATCAAAACCCACCAAATCTCGCCATTTGCAAGGACATGGATGGAACTAGATGGTATCATGCTAAGCGAAATAAGTCAATCAGAGAAAGACAATTATCATATGATCTCTCTGATAGGAGGAATTTGAGGGGCAGGGCAGGGCATTGTGGAGGGCAGGGAAGGAAAAAATGAAACAAGATGGGACTGGGGAGGGAGACAAACCATAAGAGACTCTTAATCTCACAAAACAAACTGAGGGTTGCTGGGGGATGTGGTGGGGAGGAATAGGGTGGCTGGGCTATGGACCTTGGGGAAGGTATGTGCTATGGTGAGTGCTTGGAAATGTGTAAGCCTGATGATTCACAGACCTGTACCCCTGGGGCAAATAATACACTATATGTTAATAAAAATATAATAATTAAAAAAGAAAATAGATCATTGGTTTCTTTGGGCTAAGGGATGGGGGGAGGATGAGGTGGGGATGACAGCTAAAGGGTGTGGGGTTGCTTTCTCAGGCGATGGAAATGCCCTACAATTGTCTGTGGAGATGGTTGGTCCTATCTGTGAATATACGAAGACTGTGAACTTGTTCACTTTAAATACACGTATAATTGATAGCTACAGCTCTATCTATCCCTCTAGGTGTGTAACATGGGCTTGCCCTAAGCTAGGATCAGTGAGAACAAAGCACTGGGAGGAATACAGGAAGCACTTTAAAGACCCCCAAGATAGGACTTGCTATGTGGCCATGGAGGAGGGTGGGGAGGGAATTACAATGATGATCACATTCCTGCCAACTATCCCAGAAAGTAGCAACTTTCTCACTCATCTGCCTCTTTCCCAGAGGTATGCAGTTAGAGCAGGACTTGTCCATGGATGATGGGCGATCCAGCGGGCAGCACGACTTTCTGGGCCAAGGAACACTGTGAGTTCACCTGGGGAATCTGACAAGACAGCACAGGCAGTAACACACTGCGCTGGCCCTCCCTCTCTGCCAGCCCTGGTAAGGCTGCATGTGGGGCAGTGAGGAAGGCCTTGCCTCTGGTGGCTGGGGCAGCCCAATCATACTCACTAGTCACCATAGCATCAAGCATCATGGCCTCCCAGCTCTCACATCTGAGGTGGAAAATTCTGGATCATGGGAATGTGTGTCCCTTTCTGGAGCTTCAGTTTTCTGCGGACTGTTTACAATAATGGATACTAAAAGATAGTGTAACGAAGGGCTTGTCTCTTTTATAGAATAAGAGCCTAGAGCATATATTTTCTATGTGTAGAATTTAGGGAACCCTTTCCGACGGAAAGGGAAAAAGTTACAAATATTATGCATTCTGGAAAGCTCTGGGAACAATCAGGAGAGTTTACTGCTCTCCCTTCCCACCTCTCTATGCTGAGCTCTAGGGATTCCTACCTCATGGACTGTCTTTTCTGGTTTCCAGTGTCTCATCGGTCACTACATCAGAAATGGGGAAGGGAGGGAGGGATAGGGTGCAAAATTTGGGGGTATATCTAACTTACTAGTCAAAATCTAGAAACTGGCTAGAAGGGATATGATGAATATAGGACTAAAGGAAAATACAGATTAGCACCATATACTGTGATGTGTATAAAAGGAGCCAGGCAAATCATCAGCCAACTTCAAGGGGCCCACAGGTGGGAGGAGGTGTGTGTAATGGAAGGGTTCACTGTGAACCTGCCAAAAGGCAAATTGTTACCAATGCTATAAGACAGATACAAAGTATAACACAGGCATAGAGAAAGGGAAGGATTCATGCAGGAAACATTTGACCTTTAAAGGATAGAAAGAATTCTGAAGAGTGACTCTGTCTGTGTCTGTGTCTGTGTGTGTGTGTGTGTGTGTGTGTGTGTGTGCACGCACACACACACAGACACAGACACAGACACAGACACACAGAGGTAAGATACAGAGAGCACTGCGAACAAAGGTGAGGAAGCAGTAGAGTCTGAGGCATGCTCAAAGCACAGGGCGTGTATGTTCAGAAAAATGCTAAGTGGAAGACAGGACACAGAACATTTAAAACTTCACAGAGACCCTTCTGGATACTGTTGGTGAATAACATCTTAAGAAAAACACATTGTTGACAAAGATAACAGTGGTAATATAACATCCAATATGATAGCCAATAAATTCTGATACCAAGCTAAAGAAGTACTTTTCTTGAATTTTCCACTTTATTTATTTATTTATTTTTTAATCAAATCTAACCTCAACAAAATTTCAAATTGGGATGCTCAGGACCATTTCTCTATTAACACTTCTTTTTTTTTTTTTTGGAAAGAGGAATAGCATTTATTGATTTAACACTTCATTTTAAAAAGTCATGTATGCTTTTTCCTTGTCTGGCTTTCTCCCATTCAAGGATCATTCCTTCATGGAGCAATAAGACACTCGTGGAATCCTTTCCGTTATGGCAGCATGAGGCTAGAAAGATACCCAGAGGTTTATTTTGTAGACTTGACTATGGGAATGGCATTTAAATGTCTGTATTTCCCAAGGTGCCCAGCACACCATCTTCCCTACAGGAAATACTCCAATATTTATGGGAAAAATGAAAGCAGGGAGGCAGAAAGACCGAAAAACATGAAAAAGTTCTGAATTTCACGTTGTCGTTTCTGATAGGACTAGAGTAATGGGTGTCACTGTTACAGTCTCTCCTTGAACTTTCTTGTCTCCCCTCATTTCTTCTCCTTATTCTTCCCTTGTATCCTGCATTGGCCCGTTTGATTCTGTTTACCTTGGAGCTGACAGGTCACCCTCCAAGGACCAGCACTACGGAGACTTAGAGCATCATTCACAAACAGCCCTGGACCCTCATTCTGAAGTGAGGGATCAGACAAGGCCCATCAGCGCCCACTTCACTTGGCTTCCATTACAGCACAAGTGCTCAGCCCTGGATTTGCTTACTCTCACCTGGAAGCTTTTAAAACTCTCAAAGTCCAGGCCAAATCCAAGCCAATCATATCAGAATCACAGGGGTAGGACCCAGGAGTCAGCATTTTTCAAGGTTCCCCAGGTAATCCGAATGTATAGTCAAGGTTGAGACAATCACACTGGAGTAGCACCTCTCCCACTTGAGTGGGCACCGGTCCCTGGACGGCTTCTTAACACTCAGATTGCTGGGGTTTAGGGATGGAGTTTCTATTTGACAGACCTGGGTGCGGGGAGGGTCCAAAACAGGCATTTCTTTTTTTTTTTTTTTTTCAGTTTAATAATCTTATATTTAAGTCATTTTCTCACAAAAGACATGAAGAGCCTAGAAGCATAAAGTTATAGAAGAAAAAAGGTTCTTTGACATTACATAAGTTTCTGTAGATAAATTACCCTTATCCTATGTAAAATACACAACAATTTAGATAATATTCAGATTTTTAAAGTTTTATTCATACTTGAAAGAAAATTTGGATAGCAAATAAATATTGAAGATTTTAGTCTCATTAGAATTAAATGCATATAAAACATTGTACTTTCAGGTAGATATATACAACCATATAAAAGAATATCTATAACTAGGAGCTCAGAAATATTTCTGGTGGAGACCAAGATTGTTGTGTTATCATTCATCACTTCCTAACCTTTTTGAAAAATTGGGGCAAGTCAAGTAAAGTGTTTCTTTTCCTCTATTTTACTTTACTTTAGCCCTTAACTTTATTTTTTTCAAAAAATTTTAAATTTATTTTCAGTGTAACAGTATTCATTGTTCTTGCACCACACCCAGTGCTCCATGCAAAACAGGCATTTCTAACCAGTTCTCAGGTGACGTTGATGTGGCTGGTCTGGGGACCACACTTTGAGAACCCCTGCATTTGAGGGAGCCTCGCATGAAGCCGAAGCAAAACATCTTAACTCCTGTGCCATCGTTGGTCTCCTCTACACATGGGATTTATGGCTAGCTCAGTTTGGTGTCGAGGCATGGAGGGCAAATGTGCCTTGTCTAAAACCCCAGCTCTTGAGATGGGATAGGGTAAAACAAAAGACAAACACTGCTTTTGTTTGTCTCCACGCTTTATCCATGAGATAGAAGTTTGGGTAGCCAAGAAACAATAAGCAATAAAGGATAAAAACCCATTTTCCCAAAGTAGAGAAGCATTTCCACCTGTTCATCCATGGCTCAAGAATGGAAAACTATGGCTTACATCAAAGAAGGTGCCTGCGTGCTCCAGGATCAGCTGGTTGGAATCAGGCTTGTTTTTACAGTAGGTGACGTACATCTGAAATTTGTCTGCCTAAAAAGAACAAAGGCAATCATAGATAAGCATACATCTCTTGCTCCCTTCTGCTGACTGGGTGTAAAGGGCCCAGCAGGGGTTATGCAGTGAAAGCCCTCAGATGTTGTGTTGCACAGGATTACCTGTGGCAAATGTTCTGGGTTTATCAGGCCCATGTTTCCCCTCAGAAGCTTTGGGGTGCTTTTCTCCTACCTGCAGGTGGAGAAAGCTTGCTGAAAGTGAGCTTGTTTTAACCCTAGTCTGCGCTAGAAAGAATCAGAAAAACCAATTCACGTAACTTATTTTGAAATTGGATGGAATTTTTGTAGACATTATCCCTTTTTTGGATTACCTACAATTGTGCTTCCCCTCTGGAAAAACTGACAACATTTGCTCTAAAAACAAAAACCAAAGAATGCAAACAAAGGGTGCCCTCAGCAGTAGATGTGCTTGTATTCCAAAGTTCTCCGTTGGGGGTAGTTGGTAGGCCATGCCAAAACCAATGATCCAGGGAAAGGAAAGCAATGTGACCCTTTGGGGAAGGGCCTGAACAATGAATTCTAACCAGATTGTTACTGCAAGCCAAGAACCTTGAGCTTGGTAAAAATTCATTTTTTGTTTTTCTTAGGACCCTCCGGGTTAGTGCTACATGTCCTTACTCCCAGGAAAGGTCCTTACTTAGCCACCAAGTACCTTTCCCATTTGTGAAATGCTGTCAGTGTTGGTGCCCACAGAACACTGGGGATGTCCTCCTCTGAGAAAGCAGCCCAGTTATGTGTTAATTATCGCAGGTCTCATTCATGCCAGCACCTTGCCAAGTGCTTTTCATATATATTAACTTATCTGGTCCTCCTGAGAACCCTGTGCGGTGAACTCTACTATTATCATCCCCATTTTACAGATGTGAAAACAGTGGTTAAGTAACTTCAGATTCCCACAGCTAGAAAGTGGCAGAGCCCAGGCCAGCTAATTTCAGGCTTCTTGGTCATAACCATTGGTTTTTCAATACACTGAAACAACTTCTTCTACCCTCTTATATGAAGATTATGAGACTTATGAAAATCACCTTGGGATAATTGTTAGCAAAATGCGCATACTTTATGCAATCATCAAAGGTTTTCTGAAACCAATTTTAGGGTTTATATACTATGTGGGAGGCGTTTATCATTCCTAAGACATGCTGATAAATCATACTTATGGTTGATTGTTAGGCAGATCCAAAATCTGTATGAAACACTTTGTAAACAAACAAACAGATACCCCAAAACCCTTCACTTGCTTTTTCTCTACACTGGCTCTGCAAGGGATCATAAATTATTTGTTTATCATCATTAATATGAACTGTGCATGGGCCCACGTATTTAGAGGTAGAAAAGTGCATTAACACAAATAAGATGGTAGTCTACGGCTCCTTAAGAAATAAGAATATGCCAGGAAGAAAATGTTAATGTTTTATGTTAAAAAAACAAACAAACAACCCAGGTCCCAAGTTGGGGGACTGGCTGTGATATTTACTACATGCCAGTGGACTAGTCAACCTTCTGGGTCAGCTGAATTATTTTCCCCTATAGAATATACAGCATAACCATAGCCCAGCGTACTGCATAGGCTGTTGAGAGCATCAACTCTGAATCATGAAGACATTTTGAAAAGTAGCCCATTTTGAGTGGAAATTATGATGAGATAATTATTAGCTTGAACTCCTGACCCTGGGAAGGAGTTCTACATCGAGCTGCATTTAGTATCACAGGCAGACCTCCCTGGAGATGCCTGCACTCCGACCATGAATCTGAGCTCAGAATAACACGGTGTGGAGATGCTAATGAAGACTAAGATTTCCATTTATATAATCAGAACCTGGTACATTCAGGCCATTTACTTGGTCCACAATAATAGCACCAGGAAAGAAAAGGATCAGATACAAATTTTGTAGGTCAGAACTGGGATGAATACCCACGGAATCTTTTCTTCCCTATTAAAGAAGACTATATAACCAATTGTTTGGTGGATTCCTAAAGGTCTAATTTCCCAATCCTTACCCTGCAAAAACAAACAGAACAAAACCAGTGCATAGAACCGGAGTAGTGTGTCTATCAAGTGGTGATGTTTTTCCACTCTCCCAATGTCTCAAATTTTAGAAAGATCTCGAAGAACTTTATGTAGAGCTTGGACACAATGTCTAAGGACTTTTCCCAAGGAGTGAAATGGGATGGACTGCTTCTCTCAGATCTACTTCTGCCCTTTCTCCAGAGTCCCTGGTCCTGTGTTAGAACGTCAGTGACACCAATCCTCAGCTCAGGCACCAAGCAGTGATGCCATCCGACACCGTCTGCACTCCTGGGAAGCATGGTACAGTGGGAGGAGAAGGATTTCAAGTCAGTTACCCAGGTAACAAAGCAGTGTCCCACATCCTCAGGCAGCTGCTCGTACTTCTCCAGCTCTTTGAGGAAGATGCTGCAAGGGAAGAGAAAGTCTGGATCAGAGACATCTCTGCATTCTGCCTCCCTCCTAGCCAGAGGATGATACTGAGGCCATACACTCTGCATTATCTACACATGGCTTTTCCACTCTCTAAGTGACACATGATGAGGAGTGGTTTTAAATAGATCAGAACTGATTTCATTATAATTTATATTAACTGATTAATTAGTGCTACTTCGAATTATATTGTTTCCCTTAGGGATTTCTACTTCTCGGGCTGAAAAGCAATTAAATATTATACTTGTGTTGGGGTTTTCATTTTAACGGCAACTATGAATCTATTTTTTATACAAGTAAACTGAACACATTGTAACAGTTAAAATATATATAAAAATATATAGAATATATATATATATATAAAATATATAGAATAGACATCAAAAAGAATAAAATAAATATCATCTATGATCCCAGAGATGAAGTGGAAATGTTTTGAATCCTGCAAACTTCTTTCCAATTCTTAGCCTCCTTCTCTTGGCAGCTCTTCTGTGCTAAAAATTCTGAGTTAGTGTTTCCGAATGCAGACATCATCAGGAAAGAAAATTCAATGGGGAAAAAGCCATAATATAGTTGAAAACTGAATTGAATTACTAGGGACTCATCTGCTATGGTGGATATCCATGCCCTTGGCTTCTATCTTTGTGAAGAAATAATGAAGGGTTGACTAAACCAACTTCAAATATGTTAAGCAACTGGTTTGAGCTTAGAGAATTCAAGCTCTAAAGAGCCAGCATCACTGGAATGGAATTTGCTTTTTAACAATCGCACAGTTTTAAAACAAAAAGTAATTATGATGCTGGGTGGGGGCAGAAAGTACTGATAGAAATGGAAGATGTAATCTTTACAAAATGCAATGTGACAATATCTACCAAAATTTAAAAAATGTATCTATCTTGTGTTTCTGCAACTTTAACCCTGGAAAATTTCCTATATATTTTAATTTACATATATATAGGATGACATAAACATGCACATTCATGGTGGTACTGCTCACAATAGTAACAGGTGGTCTGTAGGTGACAAAGTAACCCGTACATCCACAGAACTGGATATTACACAGCTATAAAAAAAAATGACAAGGCTTTCTATGTTTTCATAAGAAAGATCCCCAGGGCAAGCTATTAAGTGAAAAACTGCACAATGTGCAAGAATGTATATAATATGGCCACCTTTTATCTAACTAGGGAATATGTATTCTTATTTCCACCCCAAGAAACTAATGGTTGAAGGGTATAATGTCAGTTAGGAAATATAAGTTGTGAGATCCACTATACAGCATCATAGTACCTACAGCTAACAATACTGTGTTGTACACTTAAAGTTTGCTTAGAGGCGAAATGTTACATTAGGTATTCTTTAATAATAATAATATAATAATACTTATTATTGATAATAATTATATTGAATTCAATATTGAGTTGAATATTGAATATACTGAATTAGACTGAAAATAATGATAATGATTAAAAAAAAAAAAGGAAACTTTGGGAGGTGATATGTCCATTGCCTTGAAGATGGCAATAATTCCATGGGTGCATGCTCATCCCTAAACTTATCAAGTTGTACATTAAATATGTACAGCTTTTTACATGCCAATCATACTTAGATATGGTGGTTTAAAAAAAAGGTCATTACCATAGGAAACCAAGGAAAGGCACAGGGTAGATAAAGATAGTGGTAGGTTGGACTTCTCATTCTATATTTTTAAATTTAGGTTTGATTTTTAAAATAATTCAAAAATTAAAAGATATAAAGTAGTTCTAAATCATTGCACTACTTGCTTCTATCTTTGGGAAAAACAAATTTTATTGATTTGACTTGCTCTGCCTGGCTCCAATCATCTAAGCATTCTGGGAGTATCTTATAATTACAGTTAGTTATGGGTTCTGCTTAAGCGTTACTTATGTTCCCCCCATCAATGACATAGGAAGCTGTTGTTTTTAGTTTTAGTCCTATGTGGAAGGCTACAATGTTAATGATTAGTGGGATCACAGAGATATAATTTTTTGTCCACCTACGATGCAAATTTTTCTGTAATAAATGGGCATTGCTGTTGTAATAAGAAAAAGTCACTTAAAAATTTTGGGGGACTCCTCGCAGTACCCATTTAATGAAATCAACCTTCCCCTCACATGAATTTTAGACCATCCTGATTTAAATCATGGAATGGAAGTAATTATAATGCAATTTGGGCTTTCAAAATACAAATATGCAGTGCTTGAAAATCAATACGGTATCCTATTTCTCACTACTTTTAGAAGAACTGACATACATGTATTTAATATGACTTCTACAATAAAAATAGGAGAAAAATTATATAATGCTGTGATTGAGGATCAAATTTTTTTACCAGGCCAAAAAGGAAATATCCTGTTTTTGCTGCAAGAGAAGCAATCTAGGGGCACCTGGGTGGCTCAGTCAGTTAGGGGACTGCCTTTGGCTCAGGTCATAATCTCAGGGTCCTCGGAGTGAGCCCCACTTCTCCCTTTCCCTCTGCCCCTCCTTCCCGCTTGTGCTTTCTCTCAAATAAATAAATAAATAAATAAATAAAATCCTTTTTTTTTTTCTTTTCTTTTTTAAGAGAAGCAATCTGGTTCTCCATCATATCACCTCATCACTGAATTCTAAGAGATATTTATTATGTGGTCCTTCTCCATGAGGAACACTAAGTAATATAATATATAACATCTTCAGGAGTAATTTTCCAGAAGGTGTTTATATGGTCACTCAATTTAAATCTCAGTGAAGACAATAAATGCCATAATGGACTGAATAGGGCCTGGGGCGGGGACTGGAATGACTTGGTGATTGGGGAGAAGATCTTTTTTTTTTTTTAAGATTTTATTTATTTATTAGACAAAGAGAGATCACAAATAGGCAGAGAGATAGGCGGGGCAGGGGATGGGGGTGGGGAAGCAGGCCCCCCGCTGAGCAGAGAGCCTGATGCAGGGCTCATCCCAGGACCCTGAGATCACGACCTGAGCCTAAGGCAGAGGCTTAACCCACTAAGCCACCCAGGCACCGCTAGGGGAGAAAATCTGATGGGCTATTCTAAGACAAGGATTGGTGAAAGAAAATGAAAGACTTTAAAGAAGGAAGGACCCAGGAGAGAGGCCCTGGAAGATGAGACAGAAGGGAGAAATGGAAGAACCTAAAGGCCCATGGCAGTTGGGATGGACCACCTCAGCTTGTGAAAGACCTCTGCTTCCCCATCTGAGGATCTCACTCCAGTCCCCTCAGCTCTGACTCCCACGGTATTTACGCTCTTCTACTTTGGGCTGGTCAAAGAAATGATAAAACAGCCAGATCATGACATTCCATACAGGAGACAATTCAGGGAGCGTTTTCTTCTTTCCTTAACTTATGACCCAAGGTCAGTGGCCTGGTTGTTTAAGGTTAATTTTAAACAAATGGTGGTAATTATCCCAATAGAACTGATCATTATCTAGCTGCTGAAGACAGTGCTAGGAATTTTCTTTAGAATCTTGGCAGTCTAAATAGAGCAATGCCATGACTTCCTTGATAGTAGCTATCAAAACCCTATGAGAGGATGCTCAGTTTGACCATTCTCAAGAAATGAAAGCACTATAAAATGAATTAAATGGATAGAATATTATTTCTGTAATGAATGTCTTTCTGGAAAATGAAGGTTTTTAGCAGCAATGGCCATTAGCCCACCCTTCTACTGATCCTGTGTCTCACTGTCCTTTCCTCCCACAGCCAAGCAGAAATTAAAGAACCAGAGTTCCCTCTTAGAGCTGTGAGGGGGCTCTTCCAAGGCTGCATTTCCCTTATCTTTGAATAACAACCTCGTGGGGTTGCTGTGAGGATTTAATAAATCCATGTGGGTAAAGAACCCACCCCAGTGCCTAGCATATAGTAGACACTACATAAACAGGGGTTCTTTAGGACCCATGCTTCCCAATATTAACAAACTCATACCCTGATAAATATACATATTGCACTTTTCCCCATTTGTGGAGACTCATTCCTAGGGAGCTCTCCCCTAGGGGAGCCCCTGTTGGAAAATCTATAATAGATTACCTTCCCCTAGAACATATCCTGAGAAATCTTGATTGAGTGCTACAAAAATTAGATTCCAAGGTCACAGTCATTTACATTTGGGAAGTGCTGGGCTGAACTGGTCTCTTTACTGCAGGGCTTCTAAAAACCTATAAAATGACGAGGAACATGAGAAATGTCTGCAGTAGATACAGTGTGCAATGCCTCCCAAACTTCTTTGCAAGTTCTGGGGGCAGTATCAGACTCTGTCTCAAGGAACACTCCTGGAAAACCCTAGTGGGTGATCCCCACACCTGGCTGGGCACTACCCTCTCGGGGTTTGGATCTGAGCCTCTGCATTGACCAGAAGAGCTCCCTGGGTAGTTCTACTGCATTCGGTCCATAGGTCAGCATTTGAAGGACTGCCTCAGATTCCCCTGTGCTTCTAGTTGGCAGATCCTATAATGACTCTGTATGATTTAATTTTTTAATAGAAAAAACTAAAACTTAGAAAACTATCTTGTGCTGGGCAAATCAATTCACAACCTTGAGTAAGATATTCACTACCATCTCAATGTGATTGTTGAAGGCCATGTAGCAATATTAAACTCTATTCTGCTTTTTTTTTTTTTTTTTTAAAGATTTTATTTATTTATTTGTCAGAGAGAGAGAGAGGGAGAGAGAGCAAGCACAGGCAGACAGAATGGCAGGCAGAGGCAGAGGGAGAAGCAGGCTCCCCGCTGAGCAAGGAGCCCGATGCGGGACTCGATCCCAGGACACTGGGATCATGACCTGAGCCGAAGGCAGCTGCTTAACCAACTGAGCCACCCAGGCGTCCCTCTATTCTGCTTTTTGATCTAAAGCTTATGAAGATGGTAGGTTACATAACTCTGATCCATATCATTTCATCTACTTCAAGTAGGATGAGTTTAAATGAAAGCACGAGAGGTCACGACACTCTTCACACATCG